TCCTACCTGGTACTGGATGGGGGGAGGCTGGGCAGAGCGCGGGCCCGGCCTCAGGTGAGGACCCACCTTTCGGATGTTGTAGAAATCTCGGTGCGGCACCTTCTTCTGGGCGGCCAGCTCCTTCATCTCGTTGAGCAGCACGTGCATCTGGAACTTGGAGCTGAGGTACTGCAGCCGGCGGTAGCAGAACGACTTTCTGCAAGGAGGGTGCAGGGCAGAGGCTGCCAAGGGGGCAGCACACGGCGAGAGTCTAGGACTCGGCGACTTTGAGGAAGACGAGCGACGGGTGTCGGGCAGGGCTGGGAGGGGACTACGGGGCTCACATGGGGCCGTTGATAATCAGGGCCATCAGCACGTTGACGTCAGCCACAAACTCCTGCAGGTCAGGGTACGGCAGCTCCACCTCTGAGCACCTGGCACGTGGGGGGAGCTTGGGTGAGAAGAGCAAGCCAAGCAGGCCCTGCAGCCCCCCCCCAGCCAATGAAAAAAAGTGTAGACGTGCACCACGCCCCGCACCATGCGCAGCCCCAAGCCCAGGTCCCCGGGCATGGTGCTCGGCTCACAGTGCTCGTACGGGTGCTGCTCCAGCGCCGGGGGGTGCACCGGGGCATCTGGGGGAAGGGGGAGAATAGAGTCAGGGCCACCACGCACCGCCCAGCCCAGGGGCCCGCAGAGGGGAGAGACGGCAAGGCCCCAGCAGGATGGATCCCGCCCCTGCCTCCACCCCCCCATGCCGAGGCTGGGTGTGGAAGGAGCAGGCGGGGCAGAGGTTCCTGGGCTCTGAGCTCAGGGAGCTGGGGACACCAGGGCACTGGGCAGGGTTGGGGGTCCCACCGGCGGACACAGGGGTGTCGGGGCCCGGCTCGTAGGTCCGCGTCTCCAGAGGCTTCTCCGCCAGCTGCTGCAGGTGCCGGCGGGTGGTGGGGCAGAAGCTCTGCAGCGCCAGCGCCATGTACTTCTCCCGGATGAAGAGCGCGCGCACCACGCTCTTGGCCGCGTCCAGCAGGTCTGTGAAGGGCACCTGCAGACAAGGACGTGCGGGCACTGCCCTCCGGCTCACCCCCGGGCCAGGCTCACTCCCACCTGTTCCCGGAGGCCTGACCTTGAAACGCTGAGCCCTTGCTGCTCCTCCCAGACCTTCCGTCCCTGCAGCTTCCGGAGAGAGAAGCACCCTCTCTAGCCTCACCCCCAGCTCCCCAAACTGAGGGAGCCCCTGGCCCCCAGCCCGGCCCACTCACCCCGCACTTCTCCTCCCCGGAGATGGAGACGCGCTGGAATTCCCGCTCGAGCACCGCGTCGCGCTCCCGCAGGCCCCAGTCTCCCTGCCCCTCAGCCTGCTCCTTGTAGAGCCTGCCGGGAGGGGGACAGAAAGGGGTTGGAGCAGCAGTGGGACAGGCCCCAGCCCGGGCCCCCGTGTGCCCGCCCTCTGCCCTCCTCACTGGAGGTCCGATTCACTGTCCGTCTTCAGGAAATCTTGCTTGGCCCGAAGCAGGATGTCTGGCTCCAGCCTGGAGGTGAGGGGTGAGAGGTCAGATGACGGCCCTGGCTCCCGGTCCCTGCCCCGGCGAGGTGCAGTGCGTGCGCTGTCCGGGCCCCAGGTTGGGACGAGAACGCACACCCACCCAGATGTTCAGCACCAACTTCCAGGCCACGCTGACGGCAGGAGACAGACCAGCACCCGCAGCCTGACCCCAAGGCCTGTGCTTCACCCCACTGCCCTGTGCTGCCTCCCCGTGGGCCCCAAACGGGGACGGAGTGGGAGAAGGACAGAGACGGAGCTCAGAGAGCATGCCCCCCCAAACACACACAGCTGCCTGGCTGACCCCCCCCACACACACACAGCTGCCTGGCTGCGCCCTCCCCCCAAACACACACACACAGCTTCCTGCCTGCGCCACACACACACACACACACACACACACACACACACACACCTGCCTGGCTGCGCCCCCTGCCCCCACACACACACACAGTTTCCTGCCTGCGCCCCCGCCACACACACACACAGCTGCCTGGCTGAGCCCCCCCAACACACACACACACAGCTGCCTGGCTGTGCCCCCCACCCCAGGCTGCCTGGCTATACCTCCCCCACCCGAGGCTGCCTGCCTGCAGGGCTGGGCCCAGGCTCACTTGACATCCTGGCTGATCTGCCGCTCCAGGCGCTGCCTCCGCTCCTCCAGCTGCTCGATGGGGCTCTCCTCGGGGAACTCGTACGGGGCGCTGCGGAGCTCGCTCTCAGCCAGGGAGCGACTGAACAGCTCCTGGCGGCAGGAAGGAGGGATCAGCGAGGCCTGGCCCTCAGCCTTGGGCCCTCCCTGGCAGAGTCTGGGAGGAGGTGAGGGTGGCAGGAGCTGGGGTACCAGGAAGAGGCTAGGGGCCAGGGCACAGCCAAGCGTGGGGACAGCGTGGGGGACAGAGGGTGAGGTGCCAGGCGTGTGATACCTCGGCTATCTCCTTGCATTTGCCATCCATAGACGTGCGCAGGTCCAGCGGGAAGTGCTTGAGGCAGGGGGCGGGGCCTGGCAGGGACCGGGCAGACTGCAGTGGAGGGGCCCCCAGCCCACCCCGAGCCTCTGTGGAGACAGGACACCAGGGTCACAGGGTGCAGGGCAGCACCGGGGTGCACTGGAAGCCCGGGGCCAGCCCCACTCCCCAGTGTCAGAGGCCGAGGAGCAGGCGAGCCTGCGTGAGGCTCCCAAAGGACCTCACCTTCACCTTCAGTCAAGCACGGGGACCCCTCACCCACTCCAGGCGTGGGGGTGGGAGTCCCAAGTCTGCCCCTAGACCAAGTGATTCATTCTCTCCAGGAATCAGAATCTAGTCCTAGACTAGGGGCCATGAGAACCTCCCCATGAACCTCCGACAGACAGGCACAAGTGTGTCTGCACACACACATGCACACACACACACATGCACACATGGGTGCACACGCCCCAGCAGCTCAGAAGGACCTGGGGGCCAACACCGGCGATCCCCAGCCCGCAGCTCCCAGGGCCGAGGTGGGGATCAGACCTGCCTCGGACAGCACGTCCTCTCGGAGGGCAGGGCCCACACCCGATGTCCCGCACCTACAGAGCCACTCAGCTCCCACCTGGGACCAGCCCTCCAGGGAAGAGGAGGTGCAGGCGGTTGGACCTGGTTGCAGCAGGAACCCTACTGCCTCCCCGGAGGCCTGCCCTCTCCCCCAGGACCCCAGGGCTGCCAAGACGAGGCCTGGCCCCGCCTGCCCCTCCCACTGCTGGCTGCCCCTCTAAAGGGAGCTGCCACAAACAGTCTGCGCCACTCAGAGGCCCGGGATCTGGGCAGGAGGCCCTGGGAAGGGCCGGGGAAGAGAGAGCCAGAGAGCAGGGTCTCTCCCCGAGGCAGAACTCTAGGAGGCTGACAAGGAAGGCCTTGAGCTGCTGGTCCAGAGGGGCTGCCCGAGCTCCCAGCCCACCCCAGCCCACCTCCTGGGCTCCCCAGCCCCACCCTCCAGGCAGGAAGCTCTCCACACCCAAGTGGGCTCTCCCAGCCCAGGGTCCTCCTCTCCAGCACTCCCCTCCCCCGCTGCCCGGTGGCTGAGGGACAGCCTGAAGGCTCTGCCCAGGTAGAGCGCCTTCCAGTCTCCAGGCCCCTCCCCGATGCCCCAGAGTCCCAGGACTGGACAAAGGGAAGAGGAGGTGCCTGCCCGATCCAGGACCCAGCCCCCACTCAGCCTCACGCCTGCCTGGGTCCTACCTGCAGAGTTCAGGCCGTGCAGGCAGCAGCCCTGCGCCCCGTGCCGGCCTGTCTGCTGAGTGGCCAGCAGGCCTGTGCCCCTTGCCGGCCTGTTTGCTGAGTGGAGCTGCAGCCAGTCCCCCAGGACGGCTCAGGGGCCGGCACGGGCTGTACCAAGTGCAGCTGCAGGCAGGGGAGACCCTGGGATGCCGGTGAGCAGGGGCTGGGGGAGCTCAGGGGAGCCCGGAAATCAAGGGAAGGAGCATCATCAAAGTTTGGGGCTGAGAGGAACCTTAGAACCAAACAGGGCCTTCACAGGGCCCAGCCCAAAGTGGGGCCCCCAAGGGGAGGAGCAGGGTGGGCTGATACGGGCAAGAGAGGCTGGCAGGGAGGGGCCAAGCCTCCTTAAAATGCACTGCCCTGGGGTAGAGTGAGTGAGTGGGTGGGACCTGGCTGCCCCAAGGAGGGGGGGACAAAGAAAGGGGGCAAGCAGCCTCCATCTCCACACCCAGCCTCCTCTGCCCAGTGGCCGTTTTCCTAACCACTGTCCTCTGGGGCCCAGCTATGGGGTCCCCCGGGGAGACAGGCCTGGCCTGGGGAAGGAGCTCAGTCCAGGCAGGAAAGTCA